TTTTTTGTCCGGACATTGTTTGCACCCCGGGGACCGGTCCAGACTGTCCGGTGTCCGGTTATGTTCGGTGTCCGGTGATGTCCGGATCACCGGACAGTCCGGACCGGTCCAGACACTGGTCCGGAAGACAGTCCGGAAGTGTCCGGTGTCCGGGTCCGCGGTTACCATGCACTTGCCCCATCTATTATATTATTTATATTCTGTTATTCATTACATTACAGTATATATCTGGGCTACAAGTTGGGCAGCCCGGGTGGCCCCGGCCAGGCCAAATCTGGGCAAAGTCCCGGGCAAGCTCCCTGACATCCCCAGTGCAAAGAAAAAGAAAAACAAAAAATCGGAAAAACAACTATGCCGTGCAGATGTCTGCACGATACATCACAGACAACAAGAGACTCAACACAGCCATCCTCTTTTTCGACTTCGAGAAGCTGTACGCCCATGCACATGGCCAGTCGCAGTAGGGTTTTAGTCCGCCGCAGCACCGCCCCAATTTGGAAAAAAACAACTATGCTGTGCAGATGTCAACTGGATTTCCAGCAGCAACGCATGGAACAGATGCGTGTCAGCCCAGAAATTTCGCAAGTGGGTATGATTGCTATACAACCGTGCACATGGCCAGGTGCAACTGAAAGGCTCTCTCTCTCCACCGTAAAAAAATGTCTCGGTCGCTATGCCCGGGAGAGACCCGCTAGCGGTCCCCCGCTCTTCCCCTTCACCATGGAGGTGATAGCCTCCTTCCTGCGCAAGGACCAGTCAATTGAACGCCTGTTGGCCGAACCGACCCAGCCCACCCATATAGGGTCAGACTGCCCTCCACCCCTGTTCTTTGGGAACAACCTCACACCGCTCACGGCCATAAATCGGAGCCTCCAATGCCTCATTCCAAGTGCTCACGCGTGTACCATGCAGGCCTTCCCCCTCACCTCAGAAATGAAAGTTAATTGGCCACAAACCACTCTCCTGAATAGAACGTCTGGTCATTATCGATGTCAGACTAGAGAGAACAGAAGGATAAAGAATGCTGAAAGACAGAAGAAAGAAGATAATCGAAGAAAGAAGAAAAGGAAGTAGAAGAAGAAGACGGAGAAGAGAACTAGATGACAATGACGATGAACACAATGAATGGTGAAGCAAAAGTAAAAGCAGAAGCAGAAGCAGCAGCACAAAAAGCAGAAGCAGCAGCAGCAGCACAAGAAGCAGAAGCAGAAGCAGCAGCACAAGAAGCAGAAGCAGAAGCAGCAGCAGCAGACGGAGAAGAAGAAGGAGAGGAGGAAGAAGGAGGAGGAGGAGGAGAAGAAAGTGGAGAAGAAAGAGGAGGAGAAGGAGAAGAAGAAGGAGGAGGAGGAGAAGGAGAAGAAGAAGAAGACGAAGAAGACCTTGCCCTGAAGAGGAGCTGTGATCTTCGCTTTTTTTTTTTTTTTTTGTCAGAAAGTAAGAAGAACAATGAAAGCTATGACTGACACAAGTCAAGGGAATACAAATGTAGTTATTGCATAGGGGAACAATAGGGACACATTCCAATACAAGGAGGGTGCTAAGGTAGTTTCTTCATATTCATAAGTTATATGTCAGGTCACTATGGGTGATCTGAGAGGTAAGGACATAGAAAACAGAGGAGACAATACCAGTCTTTCTAGAAATTCATGTATGATATGGCAGGCTCTTAAGGAAAGGTCTGAGAGGAAAGAATAGGCTAGGCTCATGAGTTAAACTCCTGGATGATGTAGAATAGGCTAACTTAGGCAGGGGGGAGGGGTGGTATATCCTTCCGTATGGAAGTAATCAATGCCGCCCACTCGGACCTTCCACCCATCATGGGGAGGAGCGTGTGTGAGTATTTTTGTAATCAATTTTGACTTGCCGGGGGAATAGGAACCGGACTGTTGCCTTCCAGAATGGCAGGAGCCAGAACCGACAGGTTCTGTTTTAAAAAAAAAAAAAAAAAAAGAAGAACAATGAAAGAACCAACTACACCTACTACCCCTAAATTACTTACCCATGGCGGTTTCTGTTGGAGTTCAGCTGTACCACTCTGGCCCACTTCATGGGCGGCAGCAAAGGACCGTCCTCTGGTGTTGTCTTCTGACAGAATGTCTGATTTTCGTTTGACTCCCGGTATTCCGACTCGAGCTGCATCTGTAAATGCCACCTCTTCAGTGAAATATCTTGACGAACCTTGCTGTCCTGAGAAATGGGAGAGGTGTGGAAACGAAGGCACAATAGAAAAAGTGAAAAAGAAGTGTGTTATACCCGCCTTGAAACGAAGGCACAATAGAAAAGTGGAAAAGCCGGGTGTTATACCCGCCTTATTGATGAATGGACAATAGCAAATACATGTAACTGATGG